CTCTTAGTGCTGATGTGGCGATGGCAACTTTTTTGTCTTTCAGGCACAGGGTAGAGAGCTGAAAGTGGTTTTCTATACCTTCTAAAAATACGGACACCGAATTTTTTCCGTCGAAATAGACGTTTGGCTTGATTGATGCTCTCAAAGTCTGGACCAGGTATCCAAATCCTTCTAACTGCGTTGTCATTTCTTGGTGTTGTCCAGCGGCTTCCATCCAATTTTTTCGGCCATTTCAGTTCGATAAGTGTTCGGGCGCCAATATAACGTTGCGCGCCTCCAACTTGCACGCAACCAAGAGGTGACTGTGAAAGCTTGTATAAACCACAGAGTCTTGTAAAGGGTTTAAGTCCCTTTTTATTCAACGTAATAAATTACAATTGCGTGCTCTTGACGCTTACAAACGGTGCCAACTCGGCAGTCAAATAAAAATAATAACCTGAAAAGAAAATAAAGACAAGATTCTAACTACGAGGCTCTCTAAAATAACTAACTCAACTCACCGCGTTTTACAATACCGCTGCTAATTCAGCAGACTTGAAGCTCACTGGAACATTTCCAACTACTTCCCGCCAAGCACATAGGCCGCAAACGCGGGGTTCTTCAATTCTCGCTAACTACCCCTCCGCGCTCGCTAAGTAAGAATCTCACTCCGAACTCGTTTCCTTCTATTTAAATCAGAATACTTCCGCTGATAATTTGAATCCTTGCGCGTTCTACTCAAATTTACATATTCTGGCATTGGCAGTTCCAGGGGAAAGTAAGGCTTGACAGGAAAGATAGTTTAAACTTAAAATAAATGTTAGTTAAAATAAATATAAACCCTACACGTTTAAAACTGCTGTTAATTAAACTTGAAAATGTACAGCGTATTTTAATTGCAGTTTGAAAATTTCTCGATTAAATTCTTAAAAAGTCATATTTAAAAGCTCTACGTCTGGCTTAAGATTATTAATGTGTTTTTACAAAATTTTCAGTACAGTACCATCTATGCAGATGAGTAGATAAACAAGTTTGTGCTGTTCCTAACACTGTCGTTAATTGCTTACAGAATTAGGATAAAAAGCCACAGAGGAAGTAGTTGATTCTGAGTAGCCTAGGAACATGGACCTTGTAAGTCCATGCCTAGGAGTCTATGACGTCGCAGAAGAGCAAACCTTGTAGTATAATAGCTTTCCCGTCCTCTGTAGGAGCGTTGCAGCTGTTTGAGCTTAATAATAGTAACGAACCTCCATTTAAGAGTTTTGGTTTTTTGCATTCAGTAGAATTTTAGCAAGAATGTGTCTCAAATATTATATTGTATTCTGACCTTTAAACTTTCTGATTCCGGAATTTTTGGCCTTTAAAATCTGATACTTACGATTCTATTCTTTTTCTAATGGTTAGTAATAATTATAAAACGAGGTATATACCCATCCAAGCGCTTTAAAAATGAGTAAAAATGCAGTTTTTGTCTGTGCATTTCGAGAGATAATCCGATGCGAGGTTCTTGTCTTCGTTTTTGGTATTGTTTCGTTTATAGCAAAGTACGCGAAGGCTGTGTGCCCAAGGAAGGATGGCTTTGTGGAGGACTTTCTAAGGGAAACTGGCTTGTATGTAAATTACACAATTACATGTTGAAGGAAGGCCGGCGCCATTGCATTTCTATAGGTATATCAGGTATCACCGGACCCTGCTAACTGTAAAGCTTCTGCCCCAATACTGCGGAAGTACGTCCCTCCTTCCCTACCATCAACCTTTTGGCTCGCCGTGTGTTTTGTGTGCCTCTTTGCCTCACAGCCACCATACTTCGAAACATCTATGCCGTCTTCGAGATTTGAACCCGGCTTACGACAATCAGCATGACTAACTACTGTTGCATTGTGTGGTATCCACATTACACATAAGGAAAACCGTGAAAACACCTATGCAGCCAGTCCATTCGCCGGCATTTGAATCCATTCTTGTCGTCGGAGGTAAATTTTTCTTTTATCAGCGAAGACCGACCATTGGCCGCTGGTAACTCGTTCGATTCCAGGCAAACACTCTGCCATCTGCCTACATAAGATTTTCATGATATTCCCGTCACCCCATTAATGTGAATATCGGCAAGTTTCCATTAAAAAATTCTCCACGAAGTCATCCCTCCGAATGGAAATAGTTCTTGCGACCTTTGTAATAATCAGTAAATCAACCAATCGTAATGAGTCTTAATTTGACATTTTATTCTCGATGTGATTGTATTTGTCGATGCAAGTATAACGCCATGGGTTTGTTTCCGTATGTTACCATTTCTTCGACAGTAAGTATAACGCCATTTAGATACTTAAAACTAGTACTGAAAATTACGAAATTTGGTACTTCCGTATTAGCACTACCATCTTATAGAAGTCGCCCAATTTTCAGAATATACTGAATTGTGGCAATCATGCGCTTATCCATCCTTCAAATCAAGCAACGTCGCCATTTTTTGTATGTATTCTTTTTGTTGTATTCCAAGTTCCAGCGACGTTTATAGACGGATCATGATTTTAATGTATTATATAATCCTTATTTAATAATTAAAATTTATAATTTTTTTTGTTATGTTTATAATGTTTGCCGACTTGCGATAAATATTGATGGTTTGAAATTGTTTCTTAACATAAAAGTCGCTTAAATCGCCTGATGGTACCTGATAAGAAATTTTTACCTTTTCATCTATAAAAAACCGCCAAATTGCGCCAATGGGGTTGTGTTAATACGTTAAGTACCCGAAATTATATTTTGATATACTTATTATGTAAGAAAAATACTGAGTATTTTCTGCTGTTGATGATATATTGAATGTATATACATTGATGTATTTTCCATTATTCTGTATATTTAAGTTGCCGTTATTTTGCGCATTTTCCTATATGTCTGCACTAACTTAATGAATTTTTTTTTTTTTCTTTTTTAGGTAAGTCTTCTTCGCACTACTTATCTTTTCATTTACAGTAAACAGGTAGGCTTTTAAACGCTCTGTGTAAATTTTTGAAATAATTTTTATATTTAAAAAAATCTGTGGTAATGTGGCCAGCTTATGATCTGCCGCAAATTCTATGTTTTAAATAGGAACAAGCTTTGATTAAAGTATCCGTATTAAGTTCCTTTTGGTCATTTGTAAACAAAATATCCTTTGTTATTCCAATGAATAGAAAGCTTTGTAATACGAAATTTTTTATTTCCGTTTATTAGTTATGTTGGCGTTAGGATTTTTCTCTTACATCCACTATGCGTATGTTTTTGATTTTGCGTTATTATTTAACAGGCCAGAAATTCACAACCAACATTATCGAAATACTTTATTCTACTGCTCTTTTAAAAAGTGCATGAGTAATTAATATCGTCTGTCGCCGTCGTTACATTCCTTATCTCTCGGTTTTTTTTTTTTAATTATAAATGCTTTGAATATCTTTTAATATCATGACGCCATATGGCGGTAGACTGTGGAAATTGCTAACAGGTATAACTGGCCATGTAGGAAAATTGGATTTTCTAAATTTATTCCAACATAATCAAATGCTTGCCCCTTCATTTCTTTTATGCTTTCTTATTTTAAGCACAAAAACAAAGCAATGCATTTCTTTAAACTTCTCAGAAAACAGTATTGACAAAAAAAAAAAAAAAAAAAAAAAGTTATGTGAACTTTTTATAAATTAAATTACAGAAATAACTTAAATTACTTTGCTTTCCTCAGTATAAAAAAATTTAAACTACTTACCCAACTGGGTTTTAGACTTTGTGCCCCGGTTGGCCTGGAACCTGTAGATATTGTTTTTTCCAATTTAAAATTTTTATGGGCTCTGGTGGTCCTGACATTTTAAAGCACTTCTCACGACACGTACACTTCTCGAAAACTGCTGGTCCAATGCTAAACACGATACTGTAGATCGTCTGGCATTGGCTGTCAGGCAAAACGAGATGAGTCGAATTTTGTAGACTGACAATCTTCTTTTCACTAAAACATTTATGCACTCTGGACGTCCCATAAAATTAAAAAATGCTAGAGATTTTTCGAACATTATCTGTCCCGCAAAACTTCGAAGCCTGACTGTCTTCTTCTTTACTTGGACTGACGCCCGCAGTCTTTTTAGTAAAACGCAAGAGTGCTTATTTGATTGCTAAAGTAACTAAAACTGTTTCATGAATTTCATATCGTAGCTCTAGCACCAATAAATTTAAGCTGTGTTTCGTAGCCTGACTGTCCTCTTCTTTACCCAGATTGACGCCCGCTGTCTGCTTCCGTGAAATTCATATCGCACCGCTGCCACCAATAAATTTAAGCTGTAATGCCGTCGAGCTTCCGGGATGGAAAAACTAAGACTTGTTGTCTTTTTTAATTTATTTGAAAACTTAACATGAGCTTTCTTGGTTACTTAAAAGGTAACATTACGCATTATCACAGAAGCGGAAGGACAACAGTTTTCCCGACGCACGATCTGGCTTACTGTCTGGGCATTTCTCGGCTTACAGAGTCATAATATAAGTCAACGGAAACCCGCCAAAAGGGGATGTCCTTAACGAGTTTTTTCTTAATCGCTGTCGCCGGCCTCCGCGGCGGACACTGCTGTTCGTTCCGAGGGGAACAGGAAGTTCTCTAATATACACCTTATATATTCGTTGCTTGTTACAATAAATATACTTTACGCTAATTTAATGAAAGTTGGATTAAAAACTCAGGGATTGAAAAGCTTTGCGTTGCCACGCTGGAAAGTGTGAGATCTATATGTTTTAAATTTAATCAGAAAACTCGGCGATATAAAAATAATGTGTTGCCACTCGGGAAATAGCAATTGAATTAATTTGTTTGGAATTTAATAAAACTCGGCTATTTAAGAGAAATGTGTTATCATTCAGCACAGCCTGAAATATTTAATTTTCCATGCATTAACACGCACTTATTAACAGGCGTTTTATCGCATCGTACGCATTATCTTTGCTTTTTCAAAGTCAATTTGTAAACGTTGTCACAAAGCATTACTTACACTGTGAAATCAGGTATGCCACCCAAACGAAACTCGACTGCTCAATCTTCAACCCAAGCACGAAAGAAAAAAGAATCAGGAGCTTCAGAAACTAACGAGCAACGGGTAGCAAGACTGGGAAACGTTCCAGTACGCCCTGCTCAAGCCTGTTTGTTTGAAACAGACGAGCAACAGGAAGTAAGGCTGGAAAACGTTCGAATACGCGCTGCACGCTGGTATAAATCTTGGTGTATACCCCCATTACGATGCTAATTATGATTACAGTCTTCATCCAAGTGTGGTGGTCGGAAAGATGAATAAATTATGCATGTATCAAATTCAAGAATGAAGCACCGGGAACTATTATCAATTTAGATATCAGGTGGCACAAGCCAGTCGAAACATGCAAAATAAGCATAAAAAATTTTCATAACAGTATTAAAACACAAGCACTTTCTTTCCTTTAACTAGTATATAAATATTATTTCTTTTTAAGTATTATGCAAGAATATGTTATGTTGATTCTTGCAAAACTGTTTTACACTCCAATTGAAATGCTGCTTTCGATTGTCCACTAAAAACTGTTATGACTTCAAATACGATATTATGTTGTCGAATTATACCGAAAAATCTATCAATCTTTCTATGAATGCAGAAAGTTTAAATACGGGGAATAGAAATTTTGGAAATTTGATACAAGATTTATCGTAGGTGGAAAAATCCCCACACACAGACAGATATCATTTTAAAAATAGTAAAACATATTGTGGGGACCCCAATTGGTGCTTATTCATCGAGAATTCAGTATCGAATTTTTGGACTGGAAACATTACCTTCCTTACTTATATATTCATTCCATATATATACCGTATTTGCCGGCGTATAAGACGCATTTTTTTCTTTGAAAATAGGTTTGAGAAACGGGGTACGTCTTATACGTAGATACTGCGTCTTATACATCGATACTCAGTTTTTGATTACATTCATTCTGGAAATTTCCTATGTTCGGAGTTATGAGTTTTTTTCTTGTTTCCTTGCGAAGTGTAGGAATGTTACAGTTACGTAGAGTTCAGTGAATGCGCATGCGCTGTCATCGACGATCACACATGTTAAACTTTCCCGTTTTTGTGATCGACTTTTAAGTTTGTGAAATTTTTACTGTTCAATTTTCTTAAATCTGTTGGCAAATTATGGCTAAGAAACAATATTGGTATAGCTATAATATGGCATACAAGCTATGTGTGATTGCGTATGCTAAAGAACATGTAAATAAGGCTGCAGAGACTCATTTCGGGCCACCTCCAACTGAGAAAATGATAAGAACTTGACAGAATCAGAAAGAGGATCTAAAAAGGCAACTCACAATAAACATAACCTACAAAAGGGAACTGCATAATGGCCTTAACTTGAAGCAGAGGTGAATACTTGGATTTTAGACCACAGAGTAGCGAAACTTCGAGTCTACAAAAATGATTATTCATCAAGCGAACGCGATAGCGACTGATAAGAGGGATTGCCGATTTTACTGGATCAATATCGTGGTGTTCAAGATTCATGAAGAGAAACCAGCTATGTATGTGGACTAAAACAAAAATATCACAAAAGATGCCAGACAAATATGATGAAAAAGTTATTGAATTTCGTCGATTCGTCATTAATGCACGAAAATGAGAAAGTTTTATCCTTCGAAAATGCGTATAAAAAAGGGGATGTGTGTCTAATACGCCGGGCAACTACGGTATAGGTTTGGTGGGAGGTTAAAAAAATTAAACTTATTTGAGCCTTCGTTTATTGCGACGTTGCTTTTGTGTTTCAGTTGCCTGATCTCACTTCACACAAGGGAAATATCCTGTCTAATTAGGTATTCGAATCTCAAAAAAATATTTTTCGATTTCTTCTTTTCTTTCCCTCCCCCCGCTACCCTGAAATATTTATGATTTCTCCTTTCTCTTATTTCCATTTACAAACGAAGCAATTAACACAGCTTGCCTTAACGATTTAACAACAAACAAAATAAAAGCCACAGCTAGTTGCTAATTACACCGACATTTTTTTGTTACTTTTCCTTTGTTAATTTCTCTCCATTTGACCTTTTTCTTCCGCCCCGTAACCCGAAAGCGATATACTTTTTCTTTTCTTTATATATATATATATGTGTGTGTGTGTATTTTTTTAGATGCGCTTTTGGAAAAGCACTCTCAGGACTGTTTCCCTTTGCTTTCTACTTCGTATCTCCAGCCAAGCCCGCCCCCCTCAAAAAGAAAAAAAAAGGGGGTGGAAAATTCATTCTTCCCCTTTCCGTTTCGTTCTAGTACTAAGTGCTTGTTTTTTCTTCCTTGAGTACTACATGCCATAGGTTGAAGTTCCAACAGAGTTGAAAACTTAATTAGATTATCTTGCCCATTTGCAAGTTGAACCCATTATCCTAGTGGAAGAAAAAATGAGAGGGGGGGGGAAGAAGATGGAGGAAGAGTGTTCTCTTAGTTTCTGAAGATGGGGTAGAGTATTCTCTTACTTTTTTTATGTTATTGTTCTTTTTGACCGCTACAGAATTTTATTTTATTTATTTTTGTTTGAGACCGTAATGGTTTATTAAAGCCTAAGGAGCTTATAGTATTGAAACATCGAAAAGCCTTTTCTTCAATTACCCATATTCCTCTAATTTTGTGATGTTCGTTACCAATACCTCGCTGCCTAATTTCCATCCATGTGAAGAAGAATAATTTTATTTACTTTTTTTGCTTGGTATTCAGCTTGCCTGTCCGCTCTCTATGCCTCCCCCTCTCCTAACTTTAAAACAGAATGGTCACCAGATGCTAAATGTTTTAGGCGCTAGGCGTGTCAGAAATTTACAAAGCGGCAAAACTGAGTCCTTTCTGGCTTATCCTTCTAAGCGAAAAATAAAAGTAAACGCTCTTTATTTTTTAATTAAAAAAAAGATTATGTCATGTATGGTAATATGCAACAGGGTGGTCTTCAACAGTGGTTATGATCGTGATCGATTATAAGCTTTGCTCTTCTCGACCAACTTCAGCCAGCGTGATGACGTCGATGCTCTACTCCAAAAACAAGGTTTCTCCCACTTCTATGAGTAAAGTGACGTCGTTGAGCAAAAGGATAAATAATATATGTCTTTGTCTCGAGCGTCAGAAAGAAAAGGATTTGACCTTGAAAGGGCATAAGCTTGTCTGTCTATTGACCTTGATTGTTATTGTTTACCTGTTTTTGACCTTGACTGTTATTGCTCGCTGCCAATTCTTTCGGTAGGTCACCGAATCATCCATTTATTAATTTTTATTTTTCCATTTATAAACCTTCCATTAATTCCCTACACTAAGAAAAACATGTACTAACGTATTATCCCCTCTACCATGAAAGTTATCGATTAGGGCACCTTTGGCGGGGCCAATCGTTCCTGTGGAATTGAGGGAACTGAAGCCTTTTTGCTTAATAAAGAATCGCACGCTGCTCTTAATTTGCTTATGTAATTGACAGATGCAAATGACAAGATTAGCACGCTTAAAAAAGAAAATATTATATAAATATTAATTTAAGCTTTTAAATCAACTTATGTAATTGACAGATGCAAATGACAAGATTGCACGCTTAAAAAGAAAATATTATATAATATTAATTAAAGCTTTTAAATCAACTTATGTAATTGACAGATGCAAATGACAAGATTAGCACGCTTAAAAAAGAAAATATTATATAAATATTAATTTAAGCTTTTAAATCAACTTATGTAATTGACAGATGCAAATGACAAGATTAGCACGCTTAAAAAAAGAAAATATTATATAAATATTAATTTAAAGCTTTTAAAATCAACTTATGTAATTGACAGATGCAAATGACAAGATTAGCACGCTTAAAAAAGAAAATATTATATAAATATTAATTTAAGCTTTTAAATCAACTGACAAAGCAATTTACTAAAACCTGCGCTAGATTTCGCTTCGGCTTTATTCCTGAAACCTTGTTGCAAAGGTATCAAGTCTATTATTAAATACGTGTATATCAGCTAGTTTGCCTTAGAAAGTCCTACATGAAATCATCCCTGCCCTTAGGCAGATCGTCCTCGAATGCTTTGCCGTAATTAAATAAACCAAATTATCATTAAATAAGTATTTATACAGAGCAGGAAAATACGGTTTTACATTTAAGGTTCGGGAATTTCGAAGTCACGATGTTGTAACTATCAAAATGTATTCTGATTTCAAATAATGAAGCTGATTCAAAACGTAAATAACTAAGTATTACCTTTAATAAATATCCAAGAATTAACTAACTATGTAACAAAGGTATTATGTGAAATTTTCGCGAAATCTATACTTAAGTATGAAGAGAATAACATCTTTACCTCATTTGCACTGAAAAATCCATCATGCTTGCCGTAAGATTATCAGCTCAAATATCACATCCTCTTTTAAAGTTAGCAAAGTTAACCGTCAAGTCCGTGACTGCATACGTGAACCTCGGCCTCAAACACGATGTCGAAATATTTTCTTATTAGAACATAATTGATACATTCAAACTTGATACGTTGTCGCTTTGTCTGGCATTCAGTATTCTGTTTCGGCTTTCAAGCTATTTACTGCCTGGAGTGATTTTGTAGTCTTTTATTCGGTTGAAAGGAGCGAGTGAAGCTTTTTTTAAGGTTACCATTAAGAAACCGAATAATTATGTCTTTTGAATTCTTTGTTACCGTTGTTCTCGAATTCTGGAGCAACGTGAAACTGTTATTTTAAATGCGATCTTTATTAATGTACGAAAAGCTCTCTCGGATGTAGTTGTGGTCATTTTGCTTGAAAATCGAGTTCATGGACAAAATGGCGGACGGGTTTCCAATCCACAATGTGTGAATTAGTTAAAAGCATTTCATACTTAATATTTTGCAGCAATGATTATTAATATTTATTATTTATATTGTATATTACTCATACAAAATTAACCTCTAGCTCTATAAATTGGCTTATTTTGATTACGGTAAGCACACGAAGGCTATCAGTTTACCCTTCTGAAAATATCTTATAGAATTTCACACAAAGTCCAGAGATAAACTTATTTAGAATTATAATATAATTTTGTATAAACTAGATGATAGATCTTTTATAGAATTCTATAAAATTTTAGGTATAGCTTCTATAGAATTATGTAAAAAGATTC